GCTTTTTTAGATTCCACATATAAGTGAGATCATACACGTCTTTCTCTGACTTATTTCACTTAGTATAATGCCCTTAAGATCTGTTTTGCCACAAATGACAGGATCATGTTTAACTTTTTAAGAAACTGCTCAACTGTTTTCCCAAATAAGGATTCCTGTTACTCTACTTTCTTGCCAGTACTTACTGTCTATCTTTTTTATTTATTGTTTTAGTGGGTGTGAAATGGTATCCCACTGTGGTTTTAAGGTACATTTCCTTTTTTTTTTTTTTTAAGATTTTATTTATTTATTTGACAGAGAGAAAGAGAGAGCACAAGCAGGGAGAGTAGGAGAGGGAGAAGCAGTCCGCCGCTGAGTAGGCAGCCCGACACGGGACTCCGATCCCAGGACCTCAGGATCATGACCTGAGCCAAAGGCAGACACTTAACTCACTAAGCCACCCAGGTGCCCCTAATTTACATTTCCCAATGATTAATAGACATAATACATTTTGTGTTCCTAAATTAAGAGTGGCTTTCTGTTTGTTTTACCTCATTCAGATTGCTTTCTTATGATAGGGTTTATGATTATCAGCAGTAGAGTCTAATTGTCACTCTCATATATGACTTACTACCCCCTTCTCTTTTTAATAGTCTCTACCTCATTCTTAGAAAAAAAGTTTCCTTTTTTTTTAAACTTCCATCTTTACAGAATATGATTTCTCTAACTGTAGGATCTCATTGTCACCGTCCCTTTCCCCTCTCATATCTTAAACCTCCCTTGCCACTTTTCTCTTGCTTTCAAACATACTAGATTGAGTGCAGTCCCTATTAAAATTTCAATGGCATTTTTCACAGAAAGAAAAAATATAATCCTAAAACTTATATGGCACCATAAAAGACTTCAAATAGTCAAAGCAGTCCTGCGAAAGAAGAATAAAGTCAGAGTCACTGCATTTCCTGATTTCAAATTGTATTACAAAGCTACTGTAATTAAAGCAATATGGTGCTGGCATAAAGGCAAACATATAGACCAATGGAACAGAATAGAGAGCGCAGAAACTCCTGCATATACAGTGAACTAATTTTTTTTTTTTTAAAGATTTTATTTATTTATTTGACAGAGACACAGCGAGAGAGGGAACACAAGCAGGGGGAGTGGGAGAGGGAGAAGCAGGCTCCACACAGAGCAGGGAGCCCGATGTGGGACTCGATCCCAGGACCCTGGGATCACGACCTGAGCTGAAGGCAGTCGCTTAACCGACTGAGCCACCCAGGCGCCCCTACAGTGAACTAATTTTTGACAAGGGTGTCAAGAATACACAATGAGGAAAGGATAGTCTCTTTAATAAACAATGCTGGGAAAATGGGTATCCACATGCAAAAGAATGAAAGTAGACCCCTGTCTTACACCTCTCACAAAAATAAACTCAAAATAGATTGAAGACTTAAATATAAGTCACTAAATCATAAAATTCCTAGAAGAAAACATAGGGGAAAAGCTCCTTGACATTAGTCTTGGCAGTGATTTTTTTGATAAGGCACCAAGAGCTCAGGCAACAAAAGCAAAAATAAACAAGTGGGACTATATCAAACTAAAAAGCTTCTGCACAGTAAAGGAAATAATAAATTGAAAAGGCAATTTAAGAATAGGAGAAAATATTTGCAAACTCAGTAGCAAAAAAAAAAAATCTTTAATGGGCAAAGGACCTGAATAGACATTTCTCTAAAGAAGACACATAAATGGGCCATTAGGTATATGAAAAGATGCTTGATGTCAATAATTATCAGAGAAATGCAAATTAAACAATTAGATATTACCTCACATCTGTTAGGATGGCCATTATTAAAAAAAAAATAACTCAGGATATGGAGAAAAGGGAACCCTTGTACACTGTTGGTTAGAATGTAAATGGGCACAATCATTATGGAAAACAGTATGGAAGTTCCTCAAAAAATTAAGAATGGGGGTGCTTGGCTGCCTCAGTTGATAGAGCATGCAACTCTTGATCTCAGGAGTTATGAGTTTGAGCCCCACATCGGGCACACAGATTACTTTAAAAAATTTAAAATAGAACTACCCATATGACCCAGCAATCCCACCTCTGGGTATTGAAAATCAGGAATTGAAATCAGGATCTGGAAGAGGTACCTGCACTCCTATGTTCACTGAGGCATTATTCCCAATAGCTCAGATATGGAAACAACCTAAATGTCCATCAACAGATTAATAGACAAAGAAAATGCAGTACATAAACACAGTAGAATATTATTCAGCCTTAAAAAAAAATCTGCCATTCACGGTAACATAGATGGACCTGGAGCACATTATGTTAAGTGAAATAAGCCAGACACAAAGACAAATGCTGTTGGTCTCACTTAAATGTGTAATCTAAAATAGACTCATAGAAGCGGGGCGTAGAATGGTCATCAGGGACTGAGTGGGGGGCAGGGGAATAGGGAGTTGTCAGTCAAGGGGTACAAAGTTTCAGTTATGTAAGATGAGTAATTTCTAGAGATCTATCATATGGCATAGTGACTATAGATAACCATAACGTACTGTATACTTGAAGTTCTTAACACACGCGCGCACACACATTATGTGAAAGTGATGCATGTGTTAATTGGCTAAATTATAACAATTATTTCACAGTGTATATGTATATCAAATCATCACATTTTATACCTTAGGTATACAGAATTTTAAAAATACCTAGAAGTGTTCTATTGTTTTCTATATCTTGTACAAACTACCATTCTATTCTCTTGATCCATTATCCAATTTTTAAAAACACTTGTCTGGGATCACTGCCTCCATTTCTTTACCTTCTTATTCTCTGCTTAAATGTATCCAGTTTGTTTTTACTACTTAATTAAAATTTCCTTCTCAGAGATCAACAACAACCTAGCCACCTCCTACCAGCTTTTCTTTGCAACATCTGGCATCATTAACCACTCTCTACATATACTTTAAATGTTTTATTTTGGAAAAAATACTAAGTTTGCCTCTTAATATTCTCATAGCTCTATTCACCTTAGTTGTCTCCTCTTCTTCCTTCCTATCGTAGATGTTTGATAAGACTGTCTTTTGTCTTTGGCTTTTATTCCTGTACTCCATTTTCTTGTCATTTCAGCTCTTATTTTTACCATATGACCCCCAAATCTTTCTCACACCTGAACTTCATGCACAATCTCACCCTTATGTAGGGAACATTTTCTTTTCAAATCATAGGTGGTTGGGAAAGTTTATATAATAGCTTATAAAAAGAATGGCTTTTATATTTGTTTTTTAAAGATGACATCTGTTTTATAATGCACTAAAGCATTATCTTCTTTCAGAGTTTAAGAGGCTAAATAAAATTTAACCAAACACTGAATTTGGCCTGAGAGCTAGGGATTTCCTTCTTAGTATTTATTCAAGTACTCTGGGAGGAAAACTTACTGGTTATTCATTTCTTATTTCTTACAGGAGCTATTCAATTAAGTTTTCTCTCTCGTGCTTTTCTTCCATTTGAAATCTTTTCCTTGTGCTTTTTATAGGCTTTACCTGAGGAAATGTTATTCCCAATAGATCATGTATGTACCATAACAACGCTAGCATCCTTTTTACTAGAATTTAGAAAAATAATTTTTGAACTCAATATTAATATTCTCCTAAGGTAGTGATTGTCATTTATAGACACTAAGATATAACTCTTCTTGCTGTCTTCTCCGGCCTTTATCTCTGAGAAGATTGTCTTTATAGCATGTTCAGATGTCATTTTTCTACTTTCTGAAACTAAACAACATTGTAACAGTACAAAAATCTTAAGTGTCTTTTAGCATAAATTCAGTGAGGCATTCCTAAAGAATACCTCCCATTTAATTTTATCTTCTCCAATAAAGATACAGTATTCATTCAACATCTCTGATATACTGCTCAGGAATTCTGTTAAGCATTTCTATATGCCAGGCATAGTGCTAAACAGCTGTAGAGGCTGGGAAGAGCGGTGAGTAAAGCCCTCATATATAACAAAGGGTTAGGTGTTACGATACAGAACACACTACCCATCCTTTTCCATTCCACAAGTATTTATGGAGTACCTACCGTGTTCTGGCACTCTGCTTGGCTCTGAGAAGTCAACAGTGAATAAGACAGACTCTTTCCCTTTCCTCATGAAGCTGCTAAGTCTCTGTGCAGTCTCACAAGGCCATATGTGAGGGAATTTTGCACTGCTATTTTCTCTACTTGGAATGCTCTATCTTTGCATGCTGACTTTTTTGTTCAAATGTCACCACCTCAGAGAGTCAGCTTTTCCTCTCTTATTTAATATTGTCCCTCTCTCCCAGTCACTGTCTATTATACTACCTTGGAGTTCCTACAAAGCACTTATTACTATCAGAAATGATATCATTTATGTACTTGTTTATGGTCTACTTCTCCTTTGAGAGCAGGGACTTGCCTGATTTGATCATTACCATACCTCTAAGTGTTTGAACGGTGCCTGGCACATTTTGGGCACCTCACAAATATTTGCTGAATGGAAGAGTCAATGATTGGATGCATGGTACTGGAGAAAGGCATTAACAAATAAGGTAATTTCAGATAGTGAAAGTGTGGGTAATCAGAGGAGGTGTACGGAAGGGGAGAGTTAGGGAAGCCTGATGTCTAGTACTTTAGTACCCCTGACCTTATTCCCGCACCCCCTTTATCTCTCTCCCATTAACCCTTCCTCACAGTGCCTATGCCTGAAGCCCTTAATTTTTATGATCTCTTGGCCACAAGAGATACTGTTTACATCCTCAAAGTTGAAAATCCTAACATCCTAAAATTTTGCTTGACTGATGACCTCTAACCTCATCGTTCTTAAGCTTTATTCTTTTCACTAAGGCAAAATGGCAGAATATCCACAGATTTTTCCAAGATGCAAATGGTGTGCAGATACGCTTTTTTTCTTCCTTATTTTGTGCTTATGTGTCAAAAAGCATATGACCTTGTTTCTGATAGAATTTAAAATTTTTTTATTGATATTTTTCCTCTAGTAATCTTGGAATGGATGTCTGGGATTCTGATGAAGATGTAAATCCCCCATCTAATTCTTTGGAAGAATCTGGAGATTGGTCCCCAAATGAAGACTTCCATGGGTAAAAGCAACATGATTGTAGATGAATATTTTATGAAAGTTCAGATACATATTAATAGTGGTAGAGTAGGGGGAGAAATCCACAGGACTGGCAATCAGGAAGTCTGCATTCAAATCTTGATTCTGCCACTTATAAATTATAGGCAATATAGAGCCAGTGACATAACCTTTTCAGGCCAGTGTTGTTTAATTTGTAACATAAAACATTGGACAAGATCAGTTAGCTCTTCTTAAGTTGTATTCTAAGGAGATAGGTAACTAGTATTTTATGAGGTATTATTAGTTTTACAGGAATAAAAAGTGTTAAGTCAAATAAATTTTGGAAATGCAAGCTGATGTCACCATGAACACTAGCTTATTAAAAGCCCTTAGGGGCGCCTGGGTGGCTCAGTCATTAAGCGTCTGCCTTCGGCTCAGGTCATGATCCCAGGGTCCTGGGATTGAGCCCCACATCTGGCTCCCTGCTCTGCAGGAAGCCTGCTTCTCCCTATCCCACTCCCCCTGCTTGTGTTCCCTCTCTCACTTTCTCTCTGTCAAATAAATAAACAAAATCTTTAAAATAAAATAAAATAAAATAAAAGCCCTTAGAATTCCTGAAGTAAAGAGATTTATTAAATTTTGTTGAACCCAACATTTCCCTAACTTATTCAAGCACAAAACTGTTTTTCCCCCTGACAGAACAAGCATTAACATGATATGGGAAACTAATATTCTCCAAGCTATTTGGCAAATATTGAACTAGGTAATCTCTGTGATCCCTTCAAAGTTTAAAATGCTATGATTCTAAGTAATAATTTGTATTTATTCTACCAATATATCAGAAAGTAGATTAAGGTTATCAAATGGTACTAGAATTTCTTCTATGACTTACATATCTACATATATCTCTGTGTGTGTATATCTTTATAAACTGATAGAGAATTTAACAATTATCTTAAAATCTTTTTTTCTCTTTAAAAAAAATTAGACTTCTCTGCTGTTAGCATTTTTCTCTATAAACTAATCACAGGATACACAATACTATTTTAAATCAAGAGGAATAATTGGTACTTGTATTTTTAACCTGAAATATTATGTAGCAATAAATTGAAATGATCTACTGTGAACTGATTTAATACAAGCTAGACTAGACAGTATTCTTCTGTTCTCCTACTTTTCCTTCTAGCTTCAAATCTCACCCCATAACATGAAGCATTTTACCACCTGAGTGGTACTGCCTTTTCTCTCCACCCCCACCCACCAAGAAGGAGTCCTTACTTGAGCAGAGCCAGGCCCTGTGTTAGTCGTTAGCTAACATCACAGGATGTGCATGAACCACATGAAGGGTTGTACAGAGCTCTTCCACTTACCAGGGCAGTTCCTGTCTGCTCTGACACAGGCTCTTCCTGCACATAATGTCTGCACCCCCATTCCAAGGAAGCATTTGTTTATCTTCAATGAATAAAATCCTTGTGAAAGTCTCTCAGAATTTGGTGCCAGAAATTTTGTTTTCAGACATTGAGAGGTTTCATTGTTTATTTTTGTTTAGGTTATGTTTTGTTTTTATGAAACTTTCCTTTTCTTGTTGCTAGGAAACAAAGTTCTAGCTTTGTAGTCAATTATAGTATCTCATCCTGGGTTTTTAAATAGTTATTTCTATTCTAAATGTTGTCTGTTCCTCTTTTCAACTCTTTCAAATTGGTGTGTTTTTTATGTTATAGAAGTTTGGCAGTTCCTTATGAAACTAAAAATGGATTTAGCATACAACCCAGCATTTGCACTCTTGAGCATTTATCCCAGAGAACTGAAAACTTGTTCACACAGAAATAACATGAATGCTCATAGCAGCTTTATTTATAAAAGTAAAAAACTGGAAGTAGCCAAAATATATCATTTATACCAAATTATTTTATATTATAAACTCCATTAATAGTTTTTAGGAGTAATTACATAAAAACCAATATATGTTTTTTACTTCTTCTGACATGAAGTCAGTACAATAATCCAGCATGTCATCAGCCATATTTGTAAGATTACTTGTTTAACCCTTCAGACAGATTATGATAAAAGTGATCTGGTTATGACATTCCTCTAAATGAAAAGGTGCTGTGAAATGAGTTGTGCTCTAGTTTTTAGGGGAAAAAATTACTCTTTAACACCAACACACTTTTGTTTGGAAATTTACAAGTTAATAGTTGCAGGAGAGAGTTTGGGGCTCATAAGCACAAAGGAGAAAAATGAAAATGTGGCACAATTCAGTTCAGGGGACATCACAACAATTTATGTCCTGTTGAACTGAACAAAGGGAGATTTTGCTAATGGCACAGCATTTATCCTTTATTGTTCAAATACTTAGGATTTATAGTATATTTTCCCCCCAGCAGGACTTCGAAAAGGTCAAGGCTTCTTAATGACCAGCACCCTCGAAATGATGTACAGATAAAGGATTATGATTATGTCAACAATGGACCTGCCCAGAAGCATGGGGATTTTTATAAACACCAGTGTAGTGACAGCATGCCAGAAGAGAGACACCTGAGAAATTGGGATTTGGGTAACAAAGGACCAGGACCAAGATGTTCATTCTTTGCTAATCACCAGTGTTATGATGTCTTCCAAGAGGAAACAGATTTCAATAACAAGATACACGGAACAAGACCAAGACCATTTCATGATCACCAGCCTCACAGTGACTGCCATGAACCAGATGCTGGAGATGATTTTGATTTTGTTAGCAAAGTTGGTGGACAAAGGAGACATTCCATTCAGAAATATCAGGCCTATAGTAACTGTTGGGAACCATTTCCAACGAAAGATCCTGGTTTTATTAACAGAAGCTGGGGACAAAAACGACGACCTTTCTATAACCACCGTGAGTACCCACTTCATGGTGATTTTCAGGACCAGTTACTTGTACAAAGTTCTCATTTTCTCAATAGAGGTGGTGGTTTTCAAAGGCAGAAGCCTTCCCACCAGGACTATTTTCATGATGAAATGAATTTGGAAGATTTAGAATATACTGATGAAGTATCAGCGCACACACGAGGATCTCTACGTGATCATTCCAACAATGATGTCTCAGAGAAAATGTCATTGAAAAAATATGTTAATAGAGGTCATGGACAAAGACTACCACCTTTTCCAAAGTTTCAAAAACAAAGGCAGTCAAGTAATTTTGATTTCAACAGTGGAACAGGACCATGGCACATATCTTCCTGTAATCACCCACCTCATGATCCACAAGAACAGATTCTATTGGAAGACTTGGATTTTGAACAGAAAACATCCTTGCAGAGGCCACGATCTTTTCGGGACTCCCCAGTTCCTGATAACATAAATCCTGATTGGCATTTAGATAAGTGAGTCATTTTATTTTGCACAGTAAGGAACAGTACTTGACTCCAGCAAAACACTCAGACTTCTTTCAAATTAGGTATTTGTATAAAAGTGGTATAAATTATCACCCAAAGCTAAAATTCAGATTTATTCTTTTATAGATTCAATTTATAATCAAGGTTTATTTCTGATGCTGTGAATTATAAATTTACCTTTACTTCCCAAGATTGCAGTAAATATACAAATTAGATTTAAATGGTTTAACCCTTCACTGTAAGCTAGTAGTAAAAAAACAGATTTTTCACAGAAGTACCATGACTTTTAGATAAGGATTTTTAAACATGGGTTTAAACTGTGTGGGTTCATTTATATGTGGATGTTTTACAGTATAGTACTGTAAATATATTTTCTCATGATTTTGAATAATGTTTTCTTTTCTCTAGCTTATCGTAAGAACACAGTATATAACACATATAGCATAGGACCACATGTTAATCAACTGTTTATGCTACCAGTAAGGCTTCTGGTAAACAGCAGGCTGTTAGTAGTTAAGTTTTGGGGAAGTCAAAAGTTACACGTGCATTTTCAACTACACAGGGATCAGCGCCCCTAACCTCCAGATTGTTCAAGGGTCAGCTGTATTCCTTTTAGCTGTGCTACAAATTATTTTTTCTTTAATTTTAGTTCCACTGTGGTTAACATGCAGTGTTAAATTTGTTTCAGGTGTACAATAAAGCGATTCAGCGATTCTGTATATTACTCAGTATATTACCCTCACCACTGTGAGCCTGGTGATCATGAAATGGTCTCGGTCTTATTCCATGTATCTTGTTATTGAAATCTGTTTCCTCTTGTAATATACTGAGTAATGTACAGGAATAATATATATTACCCTTAACCTGCTCATCAGGTTTAAGTTTAGTACTTTTAATCCCCATCACCGATTTCACCTGTCCCCTACCCACCTCCCCTCTGGTAACCATCAGTTTGTTCTCTCTTTTTTGGTTTGTCTTTGTTTGCTACAAATTATTTTTTCATATACACGCACCAGTAGTCCTCTCTCTGCCACGCAATAATCGTCTCTTGGTGCCGTTAGATGGGAGCGTCATCGGGAGAGCAGGGAGCACAGTGACCCTGAAGCGCAAGGCAGGAAGGAGAGAGGGGAAGCCTGACATCCGAAAGGGAAAGAACAAGATAAGAAAGCAGAGAAAAAGGGTTAGAAATAAAAAGCCAAGCCAGGAGAAGAGAGCAGTGTGCTGGGATGGAGAATAAGGCTATAGAAAAGGGGAAAGGTTTGAGAAAGGAGATGAAGACTAGAAAGTTATTATGTGCCTGCCCTTTCGATTCAGAATGTTTCCTCCAATTGTACAACATTATTCTACACGTACTTGGAGAGATGTGAATTTCCACCTGTGGGCTATGGGCTATCCTGGTTTTCTTCAGAAACTTTTCTTTTTTTCTCTCCTGCCTTCCTCACTTTCCTCACGTCACAGGGCCTGAGGAAATACTGATTTAGCCGTGAAACCATCCTTTTCAATCCTATCCCTGATTGCTACCAGTGACATGTAAACACATTAGAAAACACGCATTTCATGAATCCACATGTATGCAGGGTTTATATACCACCTCTGCACATCCTTGCCACTGCCTCTGGAAATGACTGTCACTGTCTCCCTTGTGGTTTGGGGGTTGCAAAACCAGTTAATCAGTTCATCTGCACCTGGGTTACCAGTGGCTACCAGCTAAGCTAGAAATTTGTTTCATTTCCTTTATAATAATTTTGCTCTATTCCATGATTATCAGTCTACACCTAACCCCAGCCCACTGTCTTCCATTGGACAAGATAAAAGACAAGATTGGTCAATAGAAATCTCTCACTCTCCTTAGGACAGCTTCTCTAATACTGATGACAGGTTAGGAGGATTCTAGTATTCAAAAGAGGGCATGTAAAAGAAAAGGCCTTTGTTAGGCTTACTTTTTCTCCCATCTTGTCACTTAGTACCAAATTTGGGGTCAGGATTATAAGCATCCTATGTGAAAGAATATAAGTTTCAGTATAAAAGGATATTCCATACTGATTTATGTTAAACTACTCAACAGAAATCAGATTGGAGGTTTTGTTTTAAATTACGTAGTTTTTCTTAATTTACTAACTTCGGCTGTTAACAGGATTAAAATGGTTCAAAGGTATTCTGATCAAAAGGAGAGACCTAAAGGGAAAATTGAGATAGACCAAAAGAGACCTTGATTTGAGGGGAAAAGGGGGCAGATTACAGCCAAGACAAGATTCCACCTGCCCTCTTCCTTTCCACTTACCCACTACTGACAGGCCCAAGTATAACACAGCATATTAGCAACTTGGAGAAGAAGGGACTGTAGTAGGAAAAAAATAAGAGTTCTTTACAAACACTATCAAATATTTACATTAAAAATCTGCTGGAATTATCCCATAAATGTGTATTTTAGTAGAGGTTAATTGAAAGATTTTAGGTTTAAACATATATGAAAAGCAAAACTTAACAATTTAAAACAGGTGAGTCATTAGCCTTCAGGTTCTCGGTGTCAAAGAAATATTCCAGAAGAGACTATAAGTTACATAACCCACTGATTTGCTGCTACACCAAAATGATTCTGCTAATCTCTCTAACTTCATAATATAAAGAGGAACAGGCAAATATAGCTGCTGTGGTCCTAATTCTCTCTGCAGGTTAAAGAGGGGCCTACCTCCTTTCATGTGAGGTGCATTCTTTCATGCATTTAAGGACCGGAGCCCTCTGTTTACTTTTACCATGTTGCATCATGCAGGGATTCTGCCCCACTTCACCATTTGACTGTTGGTAAAAGGGTACACTCACTTCTTTTAGCACAGTGACCCCCATAAAGTTTGAATCCTGTTCTGTGATTATAATTAACACTTTCTCAACACTGGCAAAGTGATGACAAGAGTTGGATGAAGTTCTATAATGGGCACATGGATGTGTATTATCCTACTGTTGTTTATGTTTGAAAACTCTAATAATAAAAAATTAAAAATAACTTTCTGTTACATTATTAGACGGGTGTATCCAGAAGATGATCGAAGAATACATTCTTCACATGGATTTAACTGCAGGAGACAGAGCAGACTGACAACACATTCTTCACAGGAACTTCCATCTTCATGTGTATTCCAAGAACATAATTCAATTGACTATTGTAGAGGCAGATATCCAAGAGATATGGAACAGCACAAGAGGTCATATTTTTAAGCTGCTGCTTATAATTATAGTATGCCTGTCAATTGCAGAGCTGGAGAGCATTATGACTTACCATTAGAAAAAACTGCAAATGGTACTGAGTAGTTCACTTTAAAAACTGCCCACTGCTTATCTATATTTGCCCCCTTTACATTATTACTGGGCCAAAAATCATTTCATAGTAAGTTGTATGTCAGAAAACCTATGTTATTACAAAATTAGCCATTTACATCTTTCAATTTTTTGTAAGAGTATTTATAAATATAAGGAAACTATAATGTGGAATATATATAATTACTGCTTTTTCAGAACTGAAAATTTGATTTATTGAAGCTCTATTTTTAGTTATATATGCTAATGAATTGCATTTCTGGTTGCAAACTTTATAAAAAATAAATAATTCCCTTATGATTTTTTTATTCCTTTTACAAGTAGTTTTTGTGTGCGTATAGCAAGAGATTATAGCTTCCACCTAGTTGGTTAAGCTACAAAATCATAGAGTTCAAAAACCCATCAGAACTAAATTTTTAAGTCAATAACTCTTTTATCCCTGGTAGTGACAGGAGAAGGAAAAATCCATCATAGACGGAATAAGAAGCCACCTGAACTTTATAGAATTTTTTAAAGTTTCCACATAGGCCTGCATTATGGATTACCTACCAGCTCTTTCCCGTGGGTTTCTACCAAAAGCACAATACCCTGGCAGAAAAGCTGGGAGAAATCCCTCTGAGGCCCACCAGATTGTCACTAAGTGCTAGGCAGTGGCTCCCTAAAGGCAGACAGAAATCTCCTGAGGCACAGAAAACTGACAAAAAAAGAAACCCTTGAGGAATGTTGTGTAAGAGAAAGAGGAAGCTTTGTAAATTGCCCTTGAGTTGGCCCCTGGAACAGGCTGCCAAATGACGTATGGCAGTCAGGCGGAAGATGACTACTTACCTGAGAGCTGGAAGAAGGAACTGCATGGGATGCTAAGTAGTCTAGGCCTTTGGTACTCCAAGTGTGCCTGGACAGCAGCGCTGGCATTACCAGGCCGCCTGTTGGAAATGGAGAAGCTCAGCCTCACCCCACACCTACTGAATCATTTCTTATTAATTAAAATTAATTTCTGTTTCAACAAGATTCCTAGGTGAGTTACATACACATTAAATTTTGATAAGCATGACCCATTTTTTTTTAAAGATTTTACTTATTTATTTGGGGGAGAGAGAGAGAGAGAGCGAAAGCAGGAACAAATGCAGGGGAAGTGGGAGTGGGAGAAGCAGACTCCCCGCTGAGCAGGGAGCCCGATGCAGGGCTCGATCCCAGGACCCTGGGATCATGACCCGAGCCGAAGGCAGATGCTTAACCCACTGAGCCACCCATGTGCTCTGATAAGCATGACTTTTTAAGGTATATTCTTATCCTTAAAATTCTACTTAAATTGTGTGATCAAGTGCTGTGTGGTGAACTATACAGAAATTAATGCATGGTCCAAGAAGGAAACATTCAATGTAGGTAATGCAAGGAGGTGTCATTGAGGAACCAGGATTTGAGCTGGTCCTGAAGAGCTGGAGGAAGATAAGGTCATGTTAAGAGATAATGAAATGAGTATACCAAAGTAGAAATAGTGGTATGGACCAGCCTTCCTGCAGTGGAGAGGGAGATTAACTAGGACTATTACCTTAGTTCCTGCTAAAATACCCCATGAGGCCAACTTTTCAGAAAGAAAGAAGTCACTTATCTTTCTCTGAGGAGCTTAAGCCAGACGCGGAATAGAAGGGTCTGAGTGAGGTCTAATGCAGGCCCAGGCCAAGGGCTGCAATAGCACATGACTTGGAGATGTGAACCAAGGCTTCACTACAGGCATTTGAGCTGAGGTAGAGTGGGGCAGAGGTGTTCTAAGTTGAGCAAATAACCTGAACAGTGTTGGGTGAAGAAGCAGTCTACCCTGTCTGGAATGTAGGTAACATCAGAGGGGTGGAGTGGGATGAAGCCTGGAGAGAGCTTGTTACAGGCATGGCTCAAAAAGCTTAAATGTCTCTTGGAGAGTTTGACCTTATTTTGTAGGCAATGGAAAGCGACTGGCAATTTTAGTTAGGGGGCAATGTGATAAAGCCTGCATTTTTTTTTTTTTTAAGATTTTATTTATTTATTTGAGAGAAAGAGAGAGAGCAAAGGGAGAGGGACAAGCAGACTCTGCACTGAGCATGGAGCCTGATGCAGGGCTCCATCTCACAACCCTGAGATCATGACCTGAGCCGAAATTAAGAATCGGACGTTTAACGGACTGGGAGCCACCCAGGTGCCCTAAAGCCTGTTTTTTATAAAGCTTATTCTGGCATTAATAGATTGGAGACACAACCACCATTCCTGGTGCCAGGTCTTTACTGGGGTGATAATGGTAAGATTGGAAAGGGGAATCAAAATGAAAACTATTGCAAAGGCATAACACACAGGTGCTGTTGATGAAGTTGATGAAGTCCTGTTACTTGACACGGTGGTGGCATTAAGGCGGGGCAGGTTTAGGAGGAAAAATAGAGTTTGGTTTAGGTCATTCTAAATACACACTGTTCCCCATCTAGCTCCCAGGGTTGCCTCCCCTTTCTTCTTAGAACTTCATTGTAAGGAGTGATGCAGTTTCTTAGGAGACCGTATCTCATTTGTCATTGACTGACCCATGTTCTCTGGTGAGCTTTGCTATTCACTATACATTCAATAGGGATATAAAAACAAAAAGTCAACTCAGGTGTTGATGAGGGTGATGCCGTCACTGCATCATCAATTTAAATTTAGACATTTATTTAAAATAGATGAATGCAAAAGGTATAGCAATGCTTCTATCACATGTACAGTCTTAAATGCCACTTTTCTAGAGAAGGCTCATAGAGATACTCCTTTCCCCATTATTAAAAAATCCATTCTCCCTGTGATAAAACCAAATGTACTCAGTTGTATTAGATTCATGTACGAATAAAAACTTGCGTAGTTAACTACACATTGTCCTAAACACATAAAATAATTTAACCAGATCTACGTCCTCTCAGGAAATCCAGAATAGAGAGGCTTTTTTAGAATATGAGGCTAATTTGTGAGCTGCTACATCATCCAGATGAAGGCTGTGGAAGGAAATTGCAGACTGATGACATCTTGGAAGTAATGACATTTTTAAAAAAGAATACTCCTTGGCAAGATAAGTGGACTGTAATTGATAGAAAACACCCTTTATGTTTTAGTTAATGAGACACTGTGGTAGGTTCAATCACTGTGCCCATTGTTTCACTCCTCTTCTGTATTAGAATGAGTCATCCATGTCCTTTGCCATATGACCTAGCCATCCCTTCCAGTGTTTCTCCAACTTGCTAATTGTTGGGCTTGGTCATATGACTTATTTTGGTCAGTAGAATGTAGATGAGAGTGACAGGGGCCTGTCCTGGCCAAGGCTGTATGAGGCATCCTGTTCCGTCTTCCTCTCTGGTGTCCTTGCCATTCATTTTTTGTTAGAGATGCAAGATACAGGAGCAGGCCTGAACTAGACCTACCGCCTGAAGGAGCACTACCCAGCTGACGCAGATCCGTGAACATGAAAATCAAAGTTGATTGTGGTAAGCCACTGAAACTCTAAGGTTGTTACAATAAACTTAAAAGATAAAACTCACACAAACTGAAAAGAAATATGGTTAGTGAGCACAACTAACCATAAGCAAGTGTCCTATTCTAACAAGATAGCAACTATTAGAATCTGAATCAGAGAGGGACCAGACCAATCTGGGTGAAATTCAGCTCATCTTTCAAACTGACAATAAATGAGAATATATTTTAATAGTAATTTTAATATAACAATACGGTAATCTTTGTGAGCTATTAAGAAACTAATATTTATTTTAATATTCAAATTTACAATTTGATTATAGAATATAATCATCAAAATTATCTTGTATCATCTTTGAATCCAGATTGCATTTTCCAAAGGTCTTTCATCAGGCGTCTTGACCTGAATAACAGGCATTTCTGCCTTCACAAAAAAAGGCAACAAAACCTGAGGAATAAAGTGAAATTTTGAGCTGAGATCTTAAAGAAGAATCATGTCTAAGAATATTTTAACTTCATATATAATAAATAATAGCAAGATGTTACAGTATCTATAGCTGTTTTTTTTAATTTCCCCTCAATAGAAAGACAAAATATTGCCTGTGTCTTTTTAGCTTTGAATGTGTTTTTAGACACGTTTTTAGACTAGTCGTACATGGCTCTCCATCACTTGCAATGTAGCTAGACCTGATTAAGATGTGCTGTAACTGCAATATATGCAACAGCTTTCACACTTAATATGAAAAACAAATTTAATAGTTTTTATGTAAACTACATGTTGAAATGATAATACCTTGGACATAGTCACTTTTTTTTTTAAGATATTTTTTATTTATTTATTTGACAGAGAGATAGAGAGCACAAGTAGGCAGAGTGGCAGGCGGAGGGAGAGGGAGAAGCAGGCTCTCCGCTGAGCAAGGAGTCCGATGCAGGGCTCGATCCCAGGACCCCAGGATCACGACCTGAGCCGAAGGCAGTCGCTTAACCGACTGAGCCACCCAGGCACCCCAGAATAAAGTATACTTTTAAAAACTTTTATTTATATTACATTTTATATTTCTTATTTTTTTTTTTAAAGATTTTATTTATTTATTTGAGAGAGAGAGAATGAGAGACAGAAAGCATGAGAGGGAGGAGGGTCAGAGGGAGAAGCAGACTCCCCGCTGAGCAGGGAGCCCGATGTAGGGCTCGATCCCAGGACCCCAGGATCATGACCTGAGCCGAAGGCAGATGCTTAACCAACTGAGCCACCCAGGCGCCCCGGATATAGTCACTTTCTTAAACTCTTCTTAGTTCTCTGGTTTGATTGCACCTTCTTTTACTTGTTGACTGATAAAACATTAGAATGAAATATACTTTTTTTAAATATTTTATTTATTTGAAAGAGAGAGTGAGTGAGAGAGAGTGAGCACGAGTGGGGTGGGGTGGGGCAGAGGGAGAGGGAGAAGCAGGCTCCCTGCTGAGCAAGGAGCCCGACGTGGGGCTTGATCCCAAGACCCTG